TGAGAGCTGGCAAACACCAGTCAGAGAACACAGTCTTAGGCATGCTGCTATTAAAACAAAGCAAGCACGGGAACACATTTGAGATCCTGGAACTGGGCATTAGAATAAAGATGGAGTCTGAATATCAAGGAGAAAGCAAACTGCTGTCTAGATTAGAGCCCACTTTTGCTAGACGAGGTACACTGGAGCCTTGAAGGCCAGTCACAACTTGTTGAGCCAGTTCTTTTCATTCCTCTGTTCTGTTACCAGGATTTACCATCAATAGTACGTGGGCACTTAACCTGTAAATCAAAATCCAAGTTTCCCACTGTAAGGAAAGAGAGTTAAATTTTAACAGCCATCCAGGCCATTGTGAACAAAGTTCACAACAGGATTTAGCGTTGTTGGGGAGGGTGGGGAGGGATGGGAAGGGGAACGTGGAAAGGGGGCGAGTTCCAAGGGTAATATTCTATCTTTTCAACAGAGTAGTGGCACATTCAATTTTAATCATCTCACATATCCATTCTCTTTTGGGAGATACTTGTCAGGTATTTTGTTGAATGCCCTTCTTTCTTGACAATATGATTACAAAAGCATAAGTTTCCCTATTTTTGTTTTATCATATCCTTCCTTAGGGCTCTCGCTTTCCATAAGGAAATTGTGTACTTCAGACTTTTATTCCACTGAGAAATGATGGTCCTTCCATAGGAGGCACTTTGTTATTGTTTAAAATATTTGTTCTCCCTTTTGCCCACACCCGCATGTCTACATACATATTTACAGAGGGAAGCAGTCAGAGTGCATCACCACCAAAATGTTACTTACTGTTAATTATCTGAGCATGCTGGGTACAATGTGTGTTTTTTTTCTTTTCTTTATGGTTTTTAATATTCCTCTAATAAGTGTATATCCTTTCTCTTTAAGAGGAAACCAAACTAATTCATTGCATGTGGTTAGATTTCAGAGTGTTTTTCAAGGCCTTTAAAATGCTCATAATTCTTTATAAACACAGATTTCCAACTTAACCAAAAGATAATATTATCAATTCATAGAAAATTCCTTTTTGTATTGACCCAAATTTGCCCTCCTTGACTTGTAAATATCCATTTTTGTTCTGCCTTTAAAAAAAAAAGTTTTTATTCACAGAGAAGAGGGGGAGGGAGAGAGAGATAGAAACATCAATGATGAGAGAGAATCATCTTGCAGCTGCCTGCTTCGCACTGGGGACAACACAGGTGTGTGCCCCCATCTGGATCTAGAGTCGAACTGTGACCTCCTGGTTCATTGGCCGATGCTCAACCACTGAGCCACACCAGCCGGGCTGTTCTGCCTTTAAGAATGTTAGAATAAATCTACCACAGCAACCTCTCCCCTTCCCCACTTTGTGGGATAGTTCTTGAGAGGCAGCCTTTCAGACATGCTGAGAGCACTGTCGCCTGCTGTCAGGCTCCTCTGGGTTGGAACGCTGCAGCCCTTTCATCATATCTTCTGTGACATGGTTTTTAAATCACATGCCATCCTGATTGCTTTCCTCTGGACGCTTTCTGTTTTGTCACCCTTTGTTGTTAAAAATAAATTACTCCCAATTTCCTGCTTTCAGTAGAGTAGAGTGAACATAATTGACTCTTTGATGTGTGAGGGTCTGGTATGGTCCGAAAGCAATTGCACTGACCTTGACTACTTATTCTCGGTACTGTAAATATTATAGGGGAAAAATAGGAGCTTGCGCTACATCTTTACCAACCCTTGGATATGTCTTGGAAAATTTTTTTGAAATTATTATTATTTTTTTCTTATTTGGCTTTTTCTTTTGGTAGTGAATTATGCTATACAAAGGTAACCGATATCAAAAACAAAACATGGTTAATTGTTAAATTCACAATGCAGATAATCTGGTTTTATTTTCCTCTAGTAAACTGTGACCTTTCTGAGGGCAAGGATTATTTCTTACTAGTTTTAAAAAATCTTCTGCGAATAGCATAGTCCTAGCTGTATGTGATGATGCCCAATAAATATCTGATGCTCAGTTAATGTCTATACAAGAAATTAAGATCTTGTAAAATGAAATAATTCTAATTTTTAGAATATAGTGAAGAATCAGTAATATACTAGTAGAGTTGGACCTTAATTTTATTCTAACTTGCAAGGAGTAACCTTAGTATATTAGTTAACATTATTCACCATGAAAAATACTAGTGTGTTATGTGGGAATGCTTTTACCTCGAAATGGCAGAAAACCCACATTGCAATGGCTCAAGCATTAGGAACTTTATTAGTTATTTAAGAAGCCTGGGGAAACTGGCCCTGGGCTACTACAGTAGCTCAATGATGTCATCAAGGGCCCAAGCTCTTTTTATTCTTCTGTTGCTGTCCTTGACCTGTTACCTTTTTGACTTTAGGCTTATTGCCTTATGGTTACAATGTCCCTGCCCTAGCACCGGGCATCAAACATCCAGACAGAGGAACCTGAGGGCTGAGACTCTGAAGCAGCCTCCTTGCATTTCTTTTCTCTGGGGAAGATAGTTTTTCAGAACCCTTCCAGCAAACTTCCCCTTATATCCAACTGACCAAAACTGAGTCTCATGCCTATCTTCAGGAAGCAGGCAAAGGAGTAGAGTCTTGGGAATGACTGTTCATTAAACAACAGTTTAGGCCACAGCTAGAAAATAGACATCTTATCTAATAATAGACAAACATGGTAATTAACCGTACCTCCGACACGCTTCCCATCGGCTAATCAGGGTGATATGCAAATTAACTGCCAACCAAGTTGGCGGCTGGCAGCCAGGCAGCTGAAGCGAACAAGAGGCTTGCTTGCTCCAGTGATGGAGGAAGCCAAGGTTCCCCGCCTGCCCCTGCTGGGCTCTGAGCTTGCTCTCTGAAACATTGTTACAAATATAGAAGCTAAACAAACCCCAGAAACCTGCTTTCAGTCAGCCGGGATCTCAGAGCTGGAGTCGCAACAAAGTTGCAAATACAGAAGGTAAACAAATCCAGAAAGCTGCTTTCAGCAGCTGAGGTCTCAGAGCTGGAGCTGAGCCTCAGAGCTAAAGATGGCTCTCAGCTCCAGTGACAGCCATAGAAGATAAATAAATCCCAGAATTAAAAAGGAAAAAGAAATAAAAGAGAGGTTGGGAGCTTCTTTCACCCGCCAGCCTGAAAACGGCCCTCAGCCCTTCACCCAGACTGGCCAGGCACCCCAGTGGGGACCCCCACCCTGAAGGGGGGGCATATGACCTGGCGGGCGAGGGGCAGTGCATGAGGCTGTCTGTGGTCTGGGACCCGGATCTGTGACCTGGCAGGCGGGGGGCAGTGCTTGAGGCTGTCTGCGGTCTGGGACCTGGATCTGTGACCTGGTGGGCAGGGGGCACCGCGGGAGGCTGTCCGTGGTTCCAGGACCCGGATCCATGTCCCTGATGGGCGGGGGGCACCACAGGAGGCTGTCTGCTGTCTTGGGACCTGGATCTGTGACCCTGCCAGGCGGGGGCGGGGGGGCAGTCTTTGAGGCTGTCCGTGGTCCCGGGACCCGGATCTGTGACCCTGCTGGGCGGGGGCAGTGCTTGAAGCTGTCCACGGGACCAAGACACGGATCTGTGACCCTTCCCGGCGGGGCGGCAGCTCGCACAGGGGCTGATTGGCCGAGGTTGGGCAGGGCAGGACACCTGGCTTCGGCCCAGCCCCAGTCCCTCTGGGCAGGTGAGCAGTGCAGAGAGCATCTGGACAGGGGAGGCAGCCCAGCAGAGGGCGGTCTGTACTCCCTACATGGCGGTGGTGACAGCTGTGAGCACGCCAAGCGGAGCCTGCAGGCTGAGCTGAAGTAGCTCCTGCAGGCCATCAGTGCCCAGGTGTGGCTGTGCAAGATCCGCCTCCTGGCCCAGAAGGTGCAGGATTGCAGGGACAGCCACTGTGGCGGGCCAGACTGATGTCCTCCTGGCCGTACCAAGGGTTTGCGGATCTGCAAAGCCAGAGGCCTCCGGTGTGCACATCCCCCCCTGGCATGCAAACATCCCTCAGCACACTGTCACCCCCCCCATGCCTGCAACAGTTGCAAACCAAGGCGTGCACAAGTTCACCCCACCTCTCCACCACACCTCCATCACCATGGCA